TTTTAAACCAAGCGGTCTTACTGAAAATATCTTTTAAAAGAGCATGAAATGCTCTTTCAAACAAGACCAAAAATATTCAAATCGGTTGAATGGTCCAGGAGATATTAAAATGTAAACATTTGAAAACGCATTGGCCTCCCCCTCCCTTATTATGACAGATATGAGAAATATCGCAAAACAAAAGCGATGCGGTATTATCCAAGCTATTAAATGATGTTGTCAAAGTTATAGCTCATCGTCTAAGTTTCTGAGATAGCGGGAATTTTATGCTTCTCAATGGCAGTTACGCCCCCTAGCAGTCGAATTACGAACTTCAAAATAATTTCCAGCTATTTCTCTTGCCCACTTTGCTTATAAAGATTTTTTTCCCAAACCTCTAGGCCTTACCGTTGTTGAGATACAGCCGCTCCGTACGCTTAACGGGACACCCTGTATAATATGGGGTTAATAAATATGTTATTATTATTATTATCTTGTCCACAATATAATAAATAAAAATGTATTTCATTAATAATTATATTTTAATATTTAAATGAATAAACCGAACACGTTAATTGAATTTTAATCCATATTAATAATAATAAATTAATAAATAATTAATAATTTATAAATAATAAATAATTTGTCTTGGTGATATTGACATAATAATAAATAAAAATTAAAAAAAAAGAGAGGTCGGCCATGAATGTGCCGCCACACTTATCATTGATTAAGATATCATTGATTGATGAAACCACTCAAGAGAAGACAATAGATTCGAAGAGATGAGACCAGCCAAAGACTATACTAACTGTAAGAGATTTGACCATTAAATAAGTGGGTATTATCAAAGATCGATATCGATTGTTGTGTGACCACTTGTCAATATAAAGAAATTACAACCACTTGTACTAAACAATGATCAATGATAAAAAATGAAGGTTAAGCTTTAATATGAAAAAAATTGTAAAAAAAATGTAAACATATAAATATCGGATGTGCAACTTCGACGTTTTGTAGTTGAAAGGTTTCGTTTATACTAACAATATCATGATGAAGGTTTGCATTTTTGTTGCTTACATTTTGGTACAATTATTAATTGGTAACAGTAATGCTGCTGAACCAATGATAAAGGCCTTAGAAGACGATACTATTACTGTCGATAATAATACGAGAAAGGTGAGTTTCATTTCGTTGCTCATACAATTACAATTAATGCATTTATTTAGAATGACTACGTTTGCTTTGAACAGTATGACTCCTTTCATTGTCTATTATGCTTGTAATCACTTGTAATTATAAATTGTGTATTCCAGTTTGAAATTGGATCAAATAACATGGATACTGCTATGAAAGATGCAGTTATGAATACTATAAACAACGCGTATGACTCAACCAACGGGTCTAAGGGTCGTACCAACTATATACAAAATAGAATGGATGAAATCTATTCCGATTATAAGTGGATCATTATTGAAGACCCAGAATCTCAATCTTACGGTTCTATTGTAAAAAGATACTTGTGGATCAAAAAACGTTACAATTTGGTTTGGTCTACATTCGTCCTTCTTGGTTGTCAAGTTTAAAACTTTTTTTTAATATGTAAATAATAAATTCCGTTTTTAAAAACAATTTGAAATAATTTTTATTACAATAAAATGTTTATAACAACAGATTTTTGTGGCAATTTATTTTTTTTATGACTACTCATTTTAATTGTTTGTGTAATAGCCTTAATAAGGGATTTTTTGTCCATCCTTATTGAACATTGAAGGCATTTGAAGACCCAAGTGTCAATACTTAAGTAAACTATTAAAAAAGAATGCTGTGAATTTTTTCCTAATACAAGAATCACACTTGGAAAACGATGAGCAGGCCAAAAATCCCTGACTATGATATTATTGGAATTACCTTTCATTGTGGCTAATTACGGCAACATAACCTATGTCCGCACCGAAATTTAAAAGATACTCGAAGCACCTCGAATTATTGGAGATGTACACTAATTTTTCGTTTATTTGTTTTATTTTGTATGTAAATTTAATTTACGATCATAATTCGAGGTACTTGATGATCTCGGATATCTAGATTAACGTTATTGATTAATTTTTCTTAGTAAACAATTATTGTATTTTATTCAAAAATTTTCCGATATAAGGGTACTAAAATTTACGGTCATCGTAAAGAGAAAAAAAATCTCTATCAAATGAGCCTAACGAAAGGTTACATTGCCATTTAAAAACTCATTTGTTTTCTGAATGAAAAACAATTGAATGCAGTCTTATTATGGCAATTAAAATGTTAAACAACTTTTGTATAAAATGTTTTTTTATAAAGTCAACATTTACCGAGATATATACTATATTCCTTTCATCGTGAACGCACTGTATAATTAATATTCGATATTAAAGATATTATAACATCAATTTAATATTTATCACAATGTATCCTCACGACTTCCCAAAAAGCCAACATAGATCAATCCTTGTCCAATTGAGTATCCAAATCCCCATAATAAGATCTTTTTCCAGGCCTAGATTAGTTTGAAATGCACGAATTCAAGTTCAGTAATGAATGAGTGCTTTAAGTCTTATGAAACGTGTTTTTTATGCTATTTTTTATAATTCGCGTTTTTATCCTTTTTTCTCAAAAAAAAAAAATAAATTTTGACAATGTAGGGAAATAGTTATGTAGCAGGTGGTAACCCCGTAACACTTGAAAATAGGAATTTGAATGACAATTAGAAACTGTTAAAACACAAAATGTATTCACCTGACAAAAATGTTTCATGTACACCTCCCAAAATAAGAGAAATTGCTCAGAGTTCAATGTCCTCATCATTATGGACCTTGTATTCGATGATAAGAACGTATTTAAACATCCATAGACAAACGTTGTCACATTGACAACTAGAAAAATTAATGACCCAATGTCACCAACTTGAACTGGTTCCATAAAATGTTACTGAAATCTCATTGCAGCATCGGATGCTGTAAGGAGTCTCCATAGATAACTTATATAGATGTGACATTTACGTAAAATTTTTGTACACAGCACCAGCGCTCCGAACGGCTCGGACCAATACTAATATTAAATAGCGGCTAACGTGATAAATCTTAAATATAAAATTTTCTAATTTTTTTGTGTGGAATTAAATAAAAAAAATAAAGACATTTGTGGATTTTAATAATCTTTTTATTAAAATTATTATCATAACCATAAAGTCTTATTTTAATATAAAAGAACAATAACTATAAACAATGTGTAATGATCTAATGATTAATGATACACTGTTAAAAATTTTACGAAGTGATTTAACTCTTTCGATATAAGATGAAATATTACCGCGAAAAAGTGGTAAATTTAACTAAATTCTAATAGGTTGCAACACATTTGAATGTCAAAATAACTTTGTTAAAAGATGTTAAAAATACGGTGTTAATCTGTTTATTCCTCACAGTGTAACTTTACACTTTATAACACCTTATACCCCTTTCCATTTTGTAGCATTAAATGTAATGCCAATATTTTGTCATCAAGTGTATAACGCCTCCCCTGCAACCTTCTTCCTTCGTTGTCATATTGGCTCAAAAAAAAAGGATTGTTTTAGTGTGTCTAAACTTGAAATTGACTGCTTAAAAAGTTGTCTCTTTGGTAATAATTTTCTTTTATTTCTTTAGGATGTTATACTCTGGCGCTGGAATTTCCTCTTATACATCACTGCTTTCCTGTATAAATGTTGGGCTTTTGGTGATAAGTCGTCTTGTTTGTGGACACCAACTTCCTCCAATAAACTCTCCCTTTGTTTAGCTGTCAAAAAATATCCAATAATGATCCCGATTAACGCTGTTTCCCCATTAAGCGGGGTTACCCTGTAATATGAAATCAAACTTTAAAAAAATTATACTACATTCTTTTGTAATAAAAGGGAAATTAAACGTTTTTTGAATGATGTTTCGTTTATTAATAAATAACTCTTATTAAGAGTTATATGCCATTATAGGTAATTTAACCAGAGCTTTTCAAAATAAACGATTTATAAAACACATAATTTCTTACCTGAAGTCTCCAATGAGATTGCACTGGTGGATGTTGAAGCAACCTAAAGTCCCATATCTGCATGTGGAGTAGTGGGCGTGTTATTCGAAGCACTTGAAGTAGTGACTTCTAAGTACTGATATCCTACATGTGAAAAAAAATATGCCTCAGTCCTAACAACATTTTGATAATTTTATACACATACTGGCAAATTTAATGATGGTACTACTCCTTTCAACAATTTGTTGTTACGTCCAACATCCTCTCGTCGAAAAGGCTTATCACAAACTCGAAAATTATTATAAACCCTCAAGTGTTCACACTGAAGCAGGTTTTCTCGCACACAACATAAAACCCATCTTTGATATATTTCTGGATACATTTGTGGGTTTGGAAATCGGTAGAAACTTCCATACCTTTGTACGCATCCACTAATGGCGCAACTTTTTGACATTTTCTGCTACAAGAAAATAAGATGCATATATATTTATTTTACAAATACCTAATCCAGTTCCATAATCAATGTTTAAATTTCAGAGGTTTTTTATGAGCATTAGTTTCCATATTATTTTAAGGGCAACTTATATTTAAAAATTTATTGTGAAACTGGAGATCATAATATAATAATATGAAATAAATAAAAAAAAGTATATCAAATGTACTTACCACGAATAAAATTTCGTAAATTTCTTTAAAATTTACTATCAAACACAAAGCCGCATCAAAACACTAACCAACTTGACAAACAACTTAGAAAACAGTAGAAAAACAAATTGACGAAACGACTACTTAAATCCTAAAATATTTATTAATTTAAACTGCCAAGATAAAGTAGATATCTACATAATATAACGCAATATAACGCCATCTATCCCGTCGGCCCGATACTAAAAATGACGTCACTTTGTACGAACACGACGTTAATAAGTGCCAGGGGTATAGGAGTCTCATTACAGCACCCGTTTGAGTACTGTTATAGCTTTCATTACCGTCGCCTATTATTCACGAAGGTTAAGTTTATGTCACGAGCGTAGCGAGTGGCATAATTAACCTGAGTGAATTAGCTCATTATATGCGAGTAGAATACTATACTTTGTCCACGACTATTGAAATTGATTCCATAAATTTATTTTTTAAATAAATTTTTGAATAAAGGTTAAACGTCAATGTGACACAAATTCAATGTTACTAACTGTAACCAACTTCACAACAATTTGTCAAAATTAAATGTCAGTTTTATAAAACGTCGTTTTCTTTAGGAAAATTAATTAATTTATGCTTAAATCATACGAAAAAAGGAATTTGTTTAGGTTTTTTTAATGTCAAACATTTAGAAACTCCTAAAAAATTGAATTAAATTGACGTTTTTTGAACTTTTAACGTTTCAAATAATTATTATTAGTCTGGTCAAGATGGCTACCCGTGGATAATGATTTATTAT